GGAATGCTGAACCGTCCATCCTCCAGACAGCGGTGGCCCAATCCAATGCTCTCCCGGTGAGTAGTGAGCAGACGAAAGCAATGCGGCTAGAATCTGTGGGGTAAAGCGAGGTTTGTTGGTTGACAAAGAGCGAGCACTGAAGTAGGAAGCCCTTGCATTTGGCAGGTTCTCCATCGAATTTCTCAGGGAAAGCAAGTCGTGGGCTGACTGGAGGTGTCTGAGCAGGTTGTGGGTTACTGAGGACAGATGGCGGATTAGAAACGGCTCCGGGGGGTGATATGCTGATGCCTTGTAGTGCCTTGACGAGCTCCTCAGTCAATGTGGTGAGCCGATTTAACTGGTGTTGATGCATGGCGAGCTGTGAGGCCTGAGCAGAGAGTTCTGTTGATAGTTGTAGGAGCGCTGCTGGATCGCTGTTCGGCGAAGAGTTGTGTTGCGACACACCAGAAGGGTTTGGATCCATTTGCAGTTTATTAAGAATAGTCAGACAATACAGGGTCAAATACCGGCAAGGCAGAACAGTAGAGACAAGGCAGAGGCAGAATCGTGAACCAGGCGAGAGATCGGGGCAGGCGGCTAGTAAACAGAGTCCAGGTGAAACAATCCAAGTCGGGGCAGGCAGATAACAATCAGAGAATCAGGAAACAGTCCAAGATCAAAGCACAGAAAACAAACACGGGTATAACGCTCGGAAATGACAGCCGGGGCAAATCAAGACTTCGCAAGGAGTTCGTGAAATGGTGTGGCTTATATGTGTGTGTGTAAATGAGATGCAGGTGTGATTGTGTAATCAGTCCCAGGTAAGAGGGATGATGGGAAATGGAGTCCGAATGGAAGATCGCTAATACTCTGGGGACAGTTCCCTCTGGTGGTGCGGAGGAGGCGGTACGGGAGCCTCCTCTGTAACAAGTTGATACTAGTAATATATAACACATCATATTTATAATATCTTATTAAAACCATATTAATAGCAGGCCTATAAATAGTTAATAACAGTAATATAAATGTTCTAAATGAGTTGTTTATTGGTATATAATATAGATTTATGCTGTATGATATTACATTAAATGTCTAATACTTATACTTCCATTGAAGATGAGGCAGAAGCAGGCTCAGAGAGTGAGGGAGAGCCCACTGAGCATTAGCCAATTTAGACAGGTACAGGTAAGACTGTTAAACTGACTGACAGCAAAGGAATATGCTAGAGTGTGATAAAAAGAAAGCTAGACATTAAATTATTCGAATGAAAGAGTAATTACATTACAACAACATAAACTGAACTAGCACTAAGCCTTAACAATTGTATTTACAATATGTGACCTGTGCTGGCAAAATGAGTCACAATGAGCAAATTTTCAAAAATGAGTTATTTTTAGTTTTAGTTTTTTAAGTCAGTTCTGAGAAAAATCGAGTTAAAGTTTTCTGAAGGTTCCAAAGCAAAATCATCTAGCAACATTGCGTTTCCTCCACTTCCTTTCTTAATAATAATTACTATATTAATAATCACAATATAGCCATTTATCTTTGTTATTAAAAATAAGAACAGTTGCAAAAAAACAACAGTAGAACAAATACAAGAAACAAATAGGCCTAGTGCATTACTTTTTTTTTCATTTTACATTTAAAACAAAAGCATTCAAGTAAGAATAACAAATAATCAAATGTAAAAATCACTTCAGTGTGTTCGTTACAAATAAATTGCTTATTAAAACTACAAAAGTAGTTCAATCAAGAGCAGTGAGTGATCTTTTCTTTTATTGTTAGATTAACGTTAATGAGACAGACGGTCTATATATTAAGACCTACTGTACTGCACGGATCTAATATAATGTTACACATCAGATGTTTTCCCCCAACAGTTCCCCAAACGTTCACTTAAGACATAACAGATTATGTTTGTGTGAATAGCCTGCTTAACCCTCTACTACACACATTTTGATGGTACATGATAAAAATTACTCCACATAATTTCTTGGCTTATTTGGGAACATTTTATTGATAAAAAAAATTTTTTTGACCACCCCTCACCCCAAAATATTTTTTCGTTGTCTATTAGATTTGATACTTGCGCAGGTTTGTATCATAGTGCAGGGCTGGGAAACTTCGGTCCTGGAGGGCCACTGTCCTGCAGAGTTTAGCTCCAACCCTAATTAAACACACCTGCCTGTAGCTTTCTAGTGATCTTAAAGACATTCATTAGCTGGTTCTGGTGTGTTTGATTAGGGTTGGAGCTAACTCTGCAGGACAGTGGCCCTCCAGGACTGAAGCTTCCCAGCCCTGATGTAGTGTCGTGTCATATCATGTACTTCATGGAATGAGATTTTACTCTGTGTGAAACTTCAAAAAGCGCTGCTTCTCTGCTGTGAAACCGAGGTGCACGTTACAATTTTTGCACATCACTTTGAAATCCTGTGCACCCAGGAACCTTGCATCTTCCCTTTTTGTCACACATTATTTGCCCGTATGTATTGTCAATGGGAAATCCTGGTTAGGGATGGGAGCCGGGGACCCCTGCTTCCTTACCCCTTAGTGAAACAGAGGTGCACGTTACACTTTTGGCACATCACTTTGGGTGTTCCTGTGCACCCAGGAACCCTGCATCTTCCCTTTTTGTCACACATTATTTGCCCGTATGTATTGTCAATGGGAAATCCTGGTTAGAGATTGGAGTCGTGGGCCCCTGCTTCCTTACCCCTTATCGCACAACGTTGCCCGGAGGCAACGAAAAGAAAAACTGAATTTCTGAACATGCAAAATAAAAATAAATCATAAAACCTGACAAAAGTCTTCTCTACACCTTCATACACACACACACACATATTTTTTGTACAGTTCATGTCATTTTAGTAATCAAGATTACTAAAGCAAATAATCTTACCTTCTTCTCACACCATGTGCTCCTGTGACCATGTGTCAGAAAAGGAAGTCCTGTCTTCAAATGGTGCTTGATAGTGACTCCTACACCTTATTGGACTGTTCTTTGATACTTTTCAAACATTTTAATTGGTTGCAATCATTTAAAAAAAAAACATGTACTGAACATGGGGCATAAGAAAAACTTTCCGTTGCCTGAGGGCAACGCTGTGCTGTAGGGGGTTAAATACTTTAATTTTGTGTATTCAGTATATTTATGTATCGGGATCGCGTGCCGTCGAAACTGCCTTTATGCAGGCACTTCGGATGACAGTCAGCGGCAGAGCGAGAAGCAAGCAGAGAAAAAGGTACTCCTCTCAGAAAGCGTACAAATAAAGATAATTTTAGATGTTTAATTACTATTTGGAGCATTGGGGTTGCTAGACGAGGGCTTAATGAACGAATTTTTGTGAAAACCTGAAATTCGACCATTTTTCACAATTTTGTCTGTAGCTCAAAATTAGCCTGTGCGCATTCTGACTCATTTTGACAGCACAGGTCACATATGTTTGTAAAAGGTTTGTTATTCATTCTCTATATTAAGATGAAACTGCCCCAGAGTCAACTCAACAAAGTAAAAGTGAAGGTACTGAGCCAGAGACAGAAAATGTTCAGATTGAGAAAGAAAGGCAATACAATAGAGGCAGAACAGGAAGATATGGAGAGTGAGGCAGCCACAGCCATGTATTAACAAGTACCCATCCCCTTAGTGCCCCTTTTTTTGGTTTGGGCCACTGCCCCTCAAAATGTCTGTGCACGGCCCTGATATCCATATATACATATTCACAGATTCATAGACCCATTATATGTCAGCTATACTCGTGTGTTTATTGTTTAGGCTTGTGCTGCTTCTCTGCAACACTCATGTTTATATTTAGCTCACATTGTTTTGCGCGGGTTCGTTCCGCTCTCCGATCAATGATTCATGGAGTTTCATTTCATTGTTGTGGTTCATAATCCAACATGTTTATTTACATTCAAATGCCTGTGAAAAGATGTACCACATGTGTGTTTATTGACACGAGAGGGTGTGTGAGGCCCATCGCTCTATGACTGTGTCCATGACAACAATAATTATGCTCCTGTTCAGAAAGAGGACAGCATACAGTATTTGCTTATTCAGAAGGAATGTATGCAAATATCTGTACTGTAAAGGTGTGTGTTTGTGTGCTGCAAGTGTTTTAGGTAACCAGAAGAAAAAGGTTGTTACTCAGAGTTTGCTTGATCTCATATGACCATCTCTTTCAAGTTTTAAGATGTTTTTTCCTATAATTTCTTAGGTGAAATCAAAATAGACACAAATTAGACAACTGTTGACATGGAGTAAGATTACAGGGTTTAAATTATTGAGGATAGCAGCAAAATCTGATGAGAAACATCATGTGAGTTGATACTGAATCTCCTTTGATTGCAGACTTTAGTGTCTTGGCAAATCTGAGCACAGTTTGAGACATTGTTGAGATCTCTTCTGAAACTTTAAAGGAAACGTGAGATTACTGGGGTCTATTTCTCAGTAGAACAATAAGAGAAGCAAGAGCCTTAAGTCTACATTTGCTTTCTCTGTTTTCATTAGGAGAAACAATTGAGATATTAAAGAGATTTATTTTCCTATTTTCTAGTCTTTTTGAAAAATATGTGCAAATGCATGCACAAAATAATTGCATGCACATGTCTGGCTTTGCACGAGTCATGCATATCTCGTGAGCGTGTGTGTGTGTGTGTGCATTTATCACGTGCAAGTGAATGCTTGTGGAGTCGGCATTGTGCGTGTGTGTGTGTGTGAGTGCAGTGCATTTGCCTGAGGAGACCGTGTTATGTAAGTTATCTCTGCAGCATACTGCACTTCAATAATATACCAAAAACTGCTAAATAAAGACACACACACACTCATACTGTAAACACATACAATAACAAATCATATACAAAGCATATCAGATTCTCAGGTCACTCATTGTAGAGCTTGTCCTAACAAACTGTACCTAGTAAAAAATGCCATAGTGTTCGTATCACCAGCAGGAACGAAAAATCACAGATGACATCTCTTTGATATTTCAAATTTTCTCCTAGACTGGATTGTGATTAAATGAAGAATAAATGGAGAGATGCAGACTCTGTTACTTTGAGGGTTTTAGAAGACATCTCAACGGTGTCTCAGACTATGCTCATATTTGAGCAGAATCAGGCTCAGATGTGAACTCAGAGAAAGTCATACTTATAGGTTGCCCTTTCATAGTCCTTTTCTAGAAAAGGGCTGTGCCTTTACAGCTCTTACCTCAGATACTCTGTCAAAAAAACATCTGTTTGGTTTTGATTATCATGTCTATCGTGCTTAAATCATGCGTTTTAAACCATATTAGTTTAAACTTCTGATATACGGTTTTCTGAGAGCACACATCCAAAGCACATGCACAGAAAGCGGCTGTCACACGGCATGCGAGTAACTGTTCTGTCTTTGGCTGCACAGACGAGCACAGAACACTATTTAGAGTCCCAGCTTTAAGGAGCAGGTCATATGGTATGTTAAAGTGTCCTAATATTGTGTTGGAGTCCCCTACAACAGGTTTAAATGCATCTAAGGTCAGAAAACATTGTAATTTTCTCAGAATATACATTTAATATTAGAGTCATTTACCAATGATTTCTAAACAGTTCGTTCCAAGCAAGTTCGGAGCAAACCCCTCCCTTATGACATGCACACAACAAAAGGTTTGAATTGTATTTCTGTGGTATCCTTGAACACAGCGTCTTCTCAACATGATGTAAACACACTAACTAGCGGAAGTGTTTGTGGTCAGGTCAGACTCTGTTCGTATTTCGCGGCCAGGCGGGCATTATGCAAATGTGTTACCCAGTGACGTATACTGGTAACAGGCAAAAGATTTGAAAATATATGACGACTCGTTTAGGCGATTCAGAATCGACTCTCTCTTTTGAGAGACAATATCTTTATTTATCATGCACTTTTTTGATTAACAACTTTGCAGATTGTTTTCATTTAAGGATAGCTACATTATAAACTGCAAAAGAGATATTTTTCAAAAACCCATATGACCTGCTCTTTAAAGGAGATGAGAGAGCAGTGGATTTATTGATTAGTATATTATGCTGCTACCACATAGATCTGATATAAACATGCGATTTCTTTCCCAGCTGTTTACCTTCACAGACATAACTGACTGTTTTTGTAACTCATGGGTGTTTTTAACATAAACCTGTGTGTATTTGACAGTTTAAACAAAATAAGACATGAAAGAGAACACAATGCCGGCGCCGTGGGAAGAAACTTGCAGATTAAGGGGCGGTAAATATTATAATAAGTTCCCCTTTCTACGTCACGGCGGGAGCTAAATCTGAGCGGCTTGTTTTTTCACAAGCTTGCAGAGAAAGGATTACCAAAAATGTACTGGGTTGTTCTTTTTCACATTTTCTGGATTGATAGATGCACCGAGTACCCGATTATAGCACTTAAACATGGAAAAAGTCAGATTTGCATGATATGTCACCTTTATGACTTAATGGGTCTTAGAGGAATTTTATGCAAAATCCTTGAGTTCATATTGAAATCTTGACTCATGGAGACATTGCTGAGATCTCTTCTGAAACTCTAGAAGATGTGGGGTTGTTTTCTCAGGAGAAGCATCTGAGAAGGATCAGACAAATCACTCCATTTGCTCTCTGTTTATCTCATCAAGAAGCAACTGAGAAATGAAAGAGATCTCATTTGTAATGTTCTGCAATCAAAAGTCAGAGATTTTAATATGAACTCAAACTTTCTCAACAAATTCACCCATCCCCATTGGTTTTATAGCTCTATATTTTCTCTGTCAATCTTTCTCTGTCTCATTTGTGTCTTGTTTTATTGCTTGCAAGGAATTTAAGAAGAATCCCCGAGACAAAGTTGACAATTTAACATGCTTGAGAACTCAATGAAGTCATCTGAGCAGCAAAAGAGAAACTTTTGGGCAATAAAACTTTTCTCTGTGTATGATCTGATGTTCTGCATCATGGAAGTGACTCCATTCCTTTGTTTCTGAAATATGTAATGTTATCTGACTGAATTCATCTTCACAGTTATTGTTTTGGCTGCTGCAGCACGCCTGAGTGGCTCGAAAGCTTGAAAAATAAGTTTCTGAAAACACATTTTTTGGATGTGGAAATGGGTTAGCATGTGGGCTGCTATGACTCAGTGTGTGTGTGTGTGTGTGTGTGTGTGTGTGTGTGTGATGCGCTTCACTGGTGGCATGCCAACCTCTGGCTGCTGTTGCCCGGTAACACTTTACCACCGTTTTGCTCTCATTTCACCTTTTTACAGACTTTTTGTCTTTTTCTCTGTGTATCTATTTTTTCCCCTTTCATCATGTTATGTTTTTGCCACGGGATTGACATCCCGTGGTAACTAGGATTTACACAAGCTTCAGTCTGGATCCAGAACACCTGAGAAGAGATGATGCCAACCCCTCAGAGGACCTCAGATGATGCCAACCCTGAAACAACCCACCAGATCCAGTCTGTATCCGTTTCCGGCATGTTATATAATGTGAAAATGATAATAAACCAATATCACTGTTGTTTTATTGGGTTTACTTGCCTGTCCTGACCTTTTCTCTCTTTTTAATCGATAAACTCTAGAGTTTGTGTGTGGTTTTAGAAAGTATTTATACAATATATTTCCTAAAATATATTTCCCTAATAAAATTGTTTCTTTTCTAAAATCTGGAAAACTTTGATGAGAAATATTTTGTATTGCAGACTTATCTAAGTCTTGTCTTGTATTGCAGCATATCTGAGCAAAGTTTGAGACATTGTTGAGGTCTCTGTTGAAACTCTAGAGGAAACACACATGAGATAATATGATCTGATTTCATCTGATTTCTGTCTGAGGAGAAACAATAGAGATATTAAGGAGATTTTTCGAGTCTATTCGAAAAATATCTGTAAAGGCCTGCACAAAATGATTATTCGTATGTTTGGATTTGTTTATGAGCATTTTTCTTCACATATTTTGAAGTCACAATTTAAGGTTGAAGTTAG